ACGGGCCATGGGTGCTAATGCTTCTGTAACAAAACTTTAATATTCATATTTTCTGTGTAGGGGGAATAGAGTAGCCTAAAGAATGGCAAATATCTTTCATGTGGGTTAGGCGGAGGAATGTGAGAAATTAATTGTTCTCCTCCAAAAGAATGTGTGAGGCATACCAGTAATTCCCTTGCTGGGCCCACGAGCGGCCCCTGTGCACAGCACCATCGGGGCTCGTGGGACAGCCTTGTCCTTGCTTCGTGCCTCGAGGAGGCCTCTCCACATGGTTGGCTGTGCAGAATGCAGATTATTTCCTGGGGTAGATGATCTCGTTGCTACTCCGGGCCCTTCCGCAGAGGTCCTGGTGGGAGCCGGGGCTGTTCCTGGGAAGCTGCATCCGAGCCCAGCTGCTGGGGCCAGTGGAGGCCAGCGGGTTGCCCTGCTCTTCCCCCGTGGCCTTTCCCATCGTGTGGCTCACTTAGCCTGCTGCTTTTCTAACGGTGAAGACACACTTGCCTAAAGATGCCTTCAGTTTGCTTGAACCTAGATGCACGGTAGTACTGCCATTGATATTTTTACATTAAAGGGCATCTCTTTTTCTTCCCCCCAGGATTTGTGTACCTCGTGTGCATTCTTGTGAGGTGATATATGGATAAGTTGTACAGAATCAAAATGTCAGATATTATGGAGGGTGGTATTATGCCACAGTACTGTAGCTTGCTTCTTAGCAACATGGTTGTATGGTGAAAAAGCCTTTGAAAAGTCTTTCAAAAATGGTCTGGCTGTTGCAGAAGCGTAAGCTGGCGGTTTGTCTTGGGTGTGGGGGGTTCTTTCATTCTTTTAAATGAAAAATAAGAGACCTTGATCATATTTTTTTTCCTCATATTTATGAGAATTTTAAGTCTCTCAAAGTGTAACATGATGACACAAAATAGATCCCATGTTGCTAGTAATTCTATTTATTCTATTCTATCTAAACACAAAATCCTAAAAATCTAATATAATGCAAACAATCCTCCACGGAGTGAAATACTTCCCTTACAAAGGAAAACTAGGCAGCTAATTAAGTTTAACAAGTAGAGTTGTAAAGCACACTGAAAGTAAAGTAGCAGTGGTGCATTCCAAAGTTGGTGTAAAATCTTTTAACTGTAAAAAAATGTTTGAACGGCAGCCACTTTCTTGCAAGCCTTACACCTGCTATTAAAATAGTCATTTTTAGTTTATTCTGCTTAAATTACTTTGCATCTGCAAGTGATGAGTTTGTCGGTGCATGTGCGGGGCTGAGCTGAGCGGCTGTGCTGCCGGGCGCATCCCTCTCTCAAGGCCTAAGCTGCAAACACATCAGGAGGAGTTTCCCAACGTCCCGAGCTGGGCCTGCCGTGCCAGCTTAGGAGCAAATCTAAACCTGGACGGCCACGCGCCCCTGCTCCCTCGCCTCTTGTGAAATGCTAGAAAGGGAGGCGAGCTGCAAGTCCTGACGGGCGCCGGGGTCGGGAGGGGTGGGAATGCGCCTCTCCCAGGGAAAAGGGGCAAAGGGCTGTTCCCATCAGCCGCGCTTCCCTTGGGAGCGGCAGCCCGCCGGGGCCAGCAGCCTGGTTCCGGGGACCCAGCTCCCTCTGGGTCGCTGTGGTGAGAGGAGCTGCTTAAACAGAGACAACGCGTTCGTGTGTGTCTCATCACACAAAATTAAAGGCGCCCTGACAAGGTAGGAGGAAGGATGGAAATAATTACAAACCTGTCAGCTTGCAGTGGTGACAGGAGAGAAGGCCGCCCCACTAAGCAGGGAAAGGCAGATCAGCTCCTCCCCTGGACCTGCAATAAGCCACGTCTTGAGCCAGCAACTGCACCAGAATCTGCTGGATTTCGGAGAGCGTATTTTGAAGTAGCAACTTATTAATTTAACATAGGGTTTAGTCAGCAAGTTGAGCTAGCCAGCACAAATTGCAGTAAAGTCTTTGTCAGGATGGGAGCAGGGAGAGTGCGAGTGGGCAGCAAAATCATTAAACCATAGTTTTATTAAAGTGCTCATTAAATATGGCATGGTTGTATTCAGTTAATATAATTTTATTGTAACGTTTGAGCCATGCTGTGCGTAAGGTGTGTGCAGCTTTTGGTAGAATATCCTTGTAGCAGTTTTTCATACTGCTAAACTGTGTATGTCTTCTGTTTGCTATGCCTGGTCTCTTCAGAGAACCATGAGGTTGAAATAGGAAGAATATTCGATTATAAGGATAATATCATCCATCTACTTTAATAAAATATTTATAAAACATAGATTCTTCTTCCCTTCCCCCTACTGTGCATCCCTCAGTCCCTTGTAGCTGGGTTGCTGTAGTTATCAGAGTGAAGTTACTAGGTGTTGACTGCATAGACTTTACATATGATATCCTCCCCAGCTTGGCCTATGGAGCCAGATGATGGGGTGTTTGAAATGTACCCTGGCCGGAGAGTACATTTCTCATGGAGAGCATCACTGAAATCTCCCTTAGAAAGGAAGAGGATGTCCCCTGCCAACACTTCTGTAGCTGTAGAGTTTTATAAGGCATTAGTGCCCTTTGCAGCCCATGTTGCAGGTTTGAATTGGTCAGAGTGAACAGTTATTTGGGGCTGTGATAAAAGTGAGATAAATGTGTGCTCTTGGGTTGGGGTGGATTGTGCATGCGTGCACATCACATCTGGGAATAAAGGCAGTTGCTGTGGACTTGTGAGCACAGCTAGAGCTCAGAAATATGCCGAAAACGGTTTAGTGATTACAGCAAGTGCCTTTGGACCTGCTCAATGTGAAAGGGGTGAATGAGGCACCACTGAATAAAAAAGTGATAATAGATGTAGCTGAAATCTCTGAAGAAGTCTAGTTCCTAGTTCCTGATGTGCTGTGCTGGTATAAGTTACATAGATTGGACTTTTTTTGCTTTTGTTTTTTAAATAAAAGTGTACTTGTACTTGAATAAAAAATAAAAAGGAGTCTTTGATCCACTTATTGGATCCAATCGAAACACAACGAAGTCCACATGTCTGAGCTCTGCTTACTGTGTTAGAATGATATGGTTGGTAGTTTGGAGTAAACATATTAATTTATGTAAGTAGAAGTTGACTTCTGTGCACTTAGGCATTAAAATCAGAAATACCTTGATGGTTTTCAATGAAGCTTTTGACCTTCATTGAATGTTCAGAGCTGACTCAGCAGTCGCCCATATCCAAGGGTATGTGGTGGAAACACTGACTTGGCTTTGAAGTTCAGGTCAATGTACTAGCAGAGGATCATTTCTGTGAAGGGAGCATTGCAGTCAGCAGACTGTGGGACATGTCCTCTGTCTTTTAGTTGCTGTATCTTTTATTTTCCTTTGAGGAGTGGAAAGTAACTTTGCATTTATGAAAAATATTTGGTAGCTCAATATATTACCTTTTCAATAAAAAAGTATTTTTATTGTAAGAAAGAAGATAAGAAAAAGAACTTAATACATAAAAGAAGAAAAATATCTTAATTTTCAATTGTTTTGTGAAGGATGAAAGACTTGTTGCATCAATATCTGATTTTCTGGCATCCACAAAAATAGTTTTCAGACTGTAAAGTGTAAGAATTAGGCTATATCTTAAAGATAGTGACCATGATGAAATGTGGAACTCATCACCTCCTTTTGTACTCAAAGTATGTCGAGCAGCTCTCTAAATTCATGTGGTGCAAGGTGGTACAGAGTATGTGCCTGAAGACGGTCAGCACAAGGGCAGAGACATTGACTTGGGAAATGCTGATGCTGGGGCGTGATATTTCTGGAAGATGTGAACTTAAAGATTTGCAGAGGGAACAGTTTCTGAATGAGAAATGGATGGTGGCTTCAGACGTACAGACACATAACCTGGAAGCCTAACTAGGAAAACAAGTGGTATCCAAATGGGAGCTAGGGAGAGGGAGATGAGAGGGACTGTAACGAGAGCAGGCTCACCAGCATGCGCCTTGAGTCAGGAGGGCTGGGCGCGGTACTTGGAAGAGCCCAAATCCCTTGTGCAAAGGGAGGGAGCAGGAGGTAAATTTGGAAGGGAGATTCGAGTGAGATTATTGTGCAGGATTGATAACGTGAGGGTGAACGAGATGCTGCCGGCGAGAGCAGGAGCCGGCATCGCCATGGGGAGGCTGGAGGAGGCTGGAAGAGGCTGGGGTGGCCGGGGCAAGTCCTGCACCCAGCTGGTGCAGTCACCGAAATCACATGGGCCGGGTGAGACGCTGAGATGGGAATAGGAGAGGTACCATTTGGGCGAAAAAGTACATGTGTGGATATATGGATGTTTGATATATGCATATATAAATAAAGTATTTTCTGAGGGTTAATGAGTATTTGGTTTCGCAGCAAAAGTCAGCGTGCACAAGAGCCCTGCTTTGCATATGCGGGTGGCGTTGCTTGCAAACTAGCTGTGCTGTGTAATTTTTGCGAGTTACTGATATTGCCGGTGGTGGTGCGACACATCACGGTGCCAGTGTGGAAACAGTTGATTCATCAGAGTGTAATTTGCATACTGATTATAGCATGACTAATTATTGCATTCAAAGGGAGTAGGTAGACACACTGACATCTTTCTTCCCTCCCTTGTCCCTTACAACCATTTCTTAGTTACAAAATTGGAGTTCTCAGTAGTAAGAGTAAAGACCGCAACGCTGAACTTTAAATGAGATGGTTATAAAAATGAATGTGATCAGCTGCCCTTTATTAATGTTTTCCTCTTAACTTTAACGGTTAACCACAGCATGGTTTCCTGAGATAACGCTTTACGGCATGGAAGGACGTTGCTTGGCATGGAGAGATTACAAAATCACACAGTTGCTCCCAGTAACTCGGCTATAAATTAGCACCAGGCACAGTGCTCAGTGGTCAGCTAGCACTCCCCAGTCTGTCTTTCTCATGCAGGACACTTCTCCATGTTTTTTCCTGCTTCCTGAAAACCTTTCCCCCAAACATCTCCATCCCCAATTTATCTTTCATCAATTCAGAAATCCATATTTCTCTTCTGTTTTCCTGCAGGCAGCATCATAAAATCTGAAGTCAAGTGAAAATGGCCCTAAGCAATCTGACATCAAAGGCTGTACTACTTTATGATGAATGGATTAAAGATGCCGGTGAGTCGTTTCAGTCTAAAATGTATTCACTTGATGTATTCATGTATTAATGATTTTGAATGGTATTTTGTACGTTCTAAATACAATGTTTATCAACAACTTTAAGTAGCTTTGTCTTCCTGTAAACGTTTCTTAAGATTTGTCAAGCTGCCTATTGACTTGTTTAGCTACGAAAAATGGAACAGGTTCTGGGATTAAAAAGAGGAAAAAAACAAACCCTATATTCTTATGGATTTAAACTCCAGACTAGAAGTATAGATAGTCATTTTTCTATAAGGGTTTTCTGGCTTGCCAGAAAATAGTACTTTATGTTTTTCAGCGCTACTGGATATAAAGCTTTATTGTTGTTGCTGCAAACAACAATTATCAATTAATAGAGTTAGGTGGACAGTGTTACTGTATTTTGCTTTGTTAATGATTGCATAGCAGGTGAAAGGAAGTACAAAACCTGATGAGTTATGATGCTGTCTGAAAGGATTCCTAGGAGTAATTCGCTGTGTCATACTCCGGTTTAGAAAGGGAACATAATTTTCTTGTTGCAGCTGGTAGGAGGGTATTAAAAATGCTTTGGTTTAACATTGCTGTTCTGTAGTTCTTCGTGTTTATCAAAGAAATAACAGCCAGGATCTCAAGCTTGGGCTTGTGAAGAGCTGGTGATTCTCTTGCAGCACCACGTGCACAGATTGCATTTTTGTTTATGTAATGCCTGTTGGCACTTTTATCTAAAGTCATTTTTTAATCTAATGTCCTTGTTGGTCTGTGGGAAGCAGGACTGTGCACCTTACAGGCTGTAAGCAGCCTTGTATTTTACTCTCCTCCTTTTCTTTACTAAGCTTCCAGTGTCTGGAAACAACGTGAGAGGATGTCAGGGATAATATGCTGCTCGAGTGGCATGGGCTGAAGATCACTAATCTGGGGCATTTCTGTCATAAATTAAAATGTTTAACAAAAATGTGAAGTGGTGCAATTCCACCTGTGAGGCAAAGCCATGATGCAGGAAAGCAGTAGTTTACTGTCACGATAGTGAATTTGGGGTCATTCAGAAATGAAACTTGCAAAAATCTGATTATTTAAACCAGAAAAAAAAAAAAAAAGAATTATTCAACTTTCTCCTTGTTATGGAGAAACAGCCAGACCTTTAGTGAGCAAGGCCTCTGTGATGGACCACAAAGAAAGTGATAGAAGCTGGAGCGTGTGTTGTGGTCAGTCAGCTGTGGAGGCACGTGCACAGAAGAAGGACTGTTGGGAAGTTCATCTGTATGGGATAACTGGAGAGGAACTTGCAGCAATTTTGTCATTTGGAAGCTTGCAATATGAATCGGGCCATTTTATGGTGCAATTGGACAGGCATGTCTGGAGCTGGCATGTCTGGATTTAATAGGCACAGGTCTCAAGTACTAAGTTACTAATACCAAAAGATGGGACATAACATCTTCTAACTTCAAATCCCTCTAATGACTTTGTCTAACCCCATCCTGCTCAGGAGGCTCAAGGACTTTGGAGAGTGGGGCTGCCTGCTCTTCTGTGACCTGATCTTGGTAAATGAGGTTTGTGCCCCTGAGAAGAGTGAAGTCTCCCTTGGAGATCCAGCCTCAGTGCTCTCCTTGCCTCTCATATTCCTCTGCTGCCTCCCCAGCTGTGTTAACACGTGAAAACGTGGAGTTTTCTTCAGGCAGAGCATTAGCCCGAAAGCCAGAGCTGCTGCTGCTGGATTCGGGATTGCCGCCTTCCCTCTGGGTTGCAGGCGCGACGGGTCGATGCGGGAGGCTGGAATCCGCAGGTGCTGAGCCCTGTGTGCCCATCCATGGGGATTTGCACTGGAGGCGTTTGGCAGCCTGAGCTGTGAATTCAGAAACTTTCTGAATAAAAAATCAACAGTTTTTAGGACTTGATAAATACTGGAAAGATTTGCTATTGTTGGTGGCAGTTTTTGTTATTTATTTTTTCTTCCTCTCTTTCCCCCTCCCCAGACCCGAGAGTGGAAGGCTGGCCGCTCATGTCCTCACCTTTCCCAACCACCATTATTGTTGGAGCCTACATTTATTTTGTCACTTCTCTGGGACCTAAGCTCATGGAAAATAGAAAACCTTTTGAACTCAGGCAGATAATGGCATTCTACAACTTTAGTGTGGTAACCCTCTCAATATATATGACTTATGAAGTAAGTACAGCATTTATTTGAAATATATATATATATACAATATATATATTGTATACTATGTTATATTTAATGATAAAATTCCTTCTCTGCAATTCTCAAAATAAGTATTATTTTCTTCTACTTACGTTCCTCTAAGGAGTATACTTAAACTAATTGAGTTGGTACTCCCCTTTTTTCATACCTAAAAGGAAGATTCTAAAATATTTTTTATGCCATTACAAGTCATTTTAAAAATTCCTCATAACTTATTTACTTTCCCTGGACTGGAGGAGGCAAAATAGATTACATGTCTCAGTTGTAATTGTTTCTATTCCACTACATGACAGCCAACAATGATATTTCAAACACTGTATAGACTGTGTTCAACTGCAGAATAATCTTCAGTTAAATCTAGATTCTAAATAGCAAAAGTCAAAAATATCTAATTTGGGGATTTTTAGCCTAAAAAAGAAGTCTTTAGCCTTGATTGTTAGAAATAGTAAGTACTCTTCATCTCAAAAGGAGTCCTGAGATTTTACTGCAATTGATATTGCAAGGAAATATTGGACTTTCAAGTGAGATGGGTTACTCAGGGTTTTGTAGTGAATGACCTAAACGTCTTCAAGCTTGAGTAGCGCACGCTATGTAGTAGCTGTAATTTAGAAGCATCTTCCAAAGTTTAAAACAGCTAGTACCTACATTTCCTTATGGAAGAAGCTATTTTTTACCTTTTATTCTGTGTGTTTGATAGCTCTATGCACTTGCCTGGTAACACACCGCTGTTCTAGTACCTCCCCTCTTGGGGTTAAACGCGATGCAGCTATTGCAGGTTTGGCAAGCTGGTCATGAAACGTTGGCAGATGAACCTGCCAGACTGGCACCCTTTCTGTCCCCTCAACTTGCCCAAGTGCCACTCGGCGTTAGAGCAGATCGGCCGCCCTGCTCCCCAGCACATGCAACAGCCCCTGATTAGTGCCAGGGCTGCCGTGTCCAGCGCCGGTGTTGGGCAAGAGGAGAGCAGTGGGTTGCTTGGCTCCTGGTGCTGAAACATCTCCAGACTTCCCTTTGTGGTTAGGTGTTGTGTTTGCCCTTGGTTTTAAACCCTTGTAAATGAAAACAAGATTTAAATGGTATAAATCTAATAAATAATAATAATCTAATAAATATAATAGGTATAAATCTAATACTAATATAGTATTTGAATGATCTGCTGTCAAGGCTCTTATTTTACAATCTCATGAAAGACTGCAGAGATAGTAAACTAGAGCCAACCTCAGCCACTAACTGTGTCTCAGCAAGAGCCGATTCTCCCTTGTCTGGATCCAAGCTATTTTGTAGGTGCTTTTGTAAGGTGCCATCTTGATAATGTTCCAAAATTTGTTCAATTTAAGCAAATGGTTGTTTAACAACAAACATCTATTGCTTTTTGACCTGATTTAGTTGCAAGATGTGTACCTGGTATCTATTCAGAGTTTATCCTATTTAAGTTTGTCAACTACCAATGGTGACACAGTAAGATGTAGAGACTGGTTTCATCCACAGGTGTGGTCCTTGAATTTTAAATTTGTTCCTTTGCAACAGCAAAGGATTTTACAGGGCCCAGCACACACAGAGGTGGATGACTGACAAGGTTGCTGAATAAACAAGTTTTAATGTTGTGTTTTTCTCATGCTTAATGATTGCAAAAGTCAACTGAAATGAATGAATCTTATATAAGTCCCGAAGTAAACCTTTGCCCATTCTTTTTTTTTTCCTTTGCCACAGTTTCTCATGTCAGGCTGGGCCACGGGGTATTCATTCCGGTGTGATATAGTTGACTACTCGAGGTCACCTACAGCTCTCAGAGTAAGTGGGCAAACATAAGGCCGAGGAGTCGTCATGCTGCCCTGACTTGGCTTGCGGGGCTCCTCTATCCGAGCGCGCCGCCGCGGAGCGGAATGCGCTCAGTGGGAATGCCCTTGGCAAAACATAGGGCATGAGAGTTAACTGAAAGGCTTGGTCGCTCAGGAAAAATAAACAGGCAATGAATTTGTTGGCATGTTCACCTGGGTTTTACAATTTCATAAGGATTAAGTGGGGGGGTTACTGTTTAAAACAAGTAAAAAAGCCAGCTATGTGATTAAGTCTTGTTCTGTCAACTTTGTGTCACCACAGGTGACACCACTTGTCTGTATGCTTTCCCATTATATAGTTATTTAATTTTTCTTGTCGATTCTGTGTTTTGATTTTTATTTTTCTCTTTCTGTTCATTCTTGCAGATGCTACGAGTTTGTTGGCTTTACTATTTCTCCAAGTTCATTGAATTATTAGACACTGTAAGTATTTGTAAACTTGTAAGTAGTGCAGTTTCCTCTTCACTGACAAAGAACCAATGCTGGTTTGGGGCATGAGGGGAAGGAATTATTTATTAGTCTTCAGACCTTCTGTTATTGGAATCCCAACAAGGTGTTTACCCTTGTTAACTCTCTTCATCTTATTGTCCAGCTACCCTGTTGATTCTTGATTATCAGGGAAAATGTTGATTTGCTAAAGGGAGCTTTATGAAAGAGGAAGCCCATCAAGAAAAAGAGAAAGTTGTTTGTTCAGCAGCTGAATGCACCAAGCCATTGTGTTAAGCTTAAACTGTGAGATACTTGTCTCAGCACTGACTACTGCAGATTAAATTTGACATTGGCTATGTGGATTTCTTTTTTTTTCTCCTCCATATCATCTTCAGATTTTATCTTCCACCTTTTGGATGTTTGCACCAACAACTCTGAATACAGCATAAGCTGCCGTACCTACTCGCTTCAAATTCACACGCACGCCTTGCTTGCTGGCCACAATCACAGATGTGGCCGATACTAGTCCTGCGCTCCAGGCTGTCTCAAGGAGAGTGTGCGCAGCCCTACATTAAAGCGGAGCGCAGCCTCCCTTGCCCTGGCCAGCTCTCTGCCGCCTGCTCTTTGAGGTGGGCCCTTCCTAGCAGGGCTGGTTTAACGTTTCTCGCAGCGGCTGCGGGATGCCATCGAGCTGCCCAGGGTTCCGGGCTGCCTTCCCGTGTCTGGCACAAGAGCCGTGACTCAGGAGCTGCCTAATGAGCAGCTGGGGTGTCCTGCGCTCCGCAGGGAGAGCCTTTCATCTGACTTTCATCTAGGAAACCTCATGATTCAGCGCCTGAACATTATCCTGACTGGGCTGATGGAATGCCGATGGAAGGATCGGGAATGCTGAAACTGGAAAAGCCTGACCAATTTAGCTCTCTGTTTAGCTTTGCTACCCAGTGGTTAGAGTGTGCCTTTATAAATAGTCCCTATTCAACTATTCAAAATAGTTATTTTGAATCCTCCTAATCAGGTGCCTGTTTCTCAGCAGGTTTTGATTTTAGTGTTAAGGCAACTTCTTGGCTGTATTCAACAACCATTTCTATTCATTTTCCCTGGCATACCAGACTCATAGTAGTGAGCATACAGTTTATTCTGTTTGGCTTGTGTGGTTTCTGTAACATATTGTTTACTAAAATATGTTTCAGGTATTTTTTATTCTGCGTAAGAAGAACAGCCAAGTCACATTCCTGCATGTCTTTCATCATTCCATCATGCCATGGACCTGGTGGTTTGGAGTCAAATTTGCTGCAGGTAGTGGCATGGCAGGTTAAGCTGTATATGTCTTCTGGTAGCAAAAGTTAAAAAGATAAAAATGTCAAAAAATATACTCTGAAACTTCATTAGAGACATCTTTCCCCTGAAACTTAAGCATTGAATTGGATGGGAGAAGTTTGTTCTCATTGTGCTTAGCATCCTTTGTTTTGCCTGCTTTAGAAGCTACTCAGGCTTTATTTCAGCTGTTTTTACTGGCCTTGGCTCACATAATTGAAGCTTATTTAGAATACTCTGTCCCTCACAAACCTATTAAGATATTTTCTGCTCTCTACTCTGCAGTCTTTATAAAGAGCAAAATTAGGACTGCTCCTTGCATTTTATTTGCCTGGAATGCATTTTTCTATGTTCCAGTATTAGTGTGGAACGCTAATAAATATAGCATCCCATAAAAATATCCTGGGGAGAAGAGAGTCGAGAAATGCACAGTCATTTAGTAGTATATTTGTAGTGCGTGGGTGGTTTGTTTTGTAGGTTTTACTCTGGATTTTGTTTTTAGCATGCAGTATCAGTAGAAGGATTTTTCACCAAGGAATGTATTTTTGTACATATTTCTTTAATCATGTTCTCTGGCATGATCTTTTTCCTAAGAAAAGAGCAACAAATTGATAAGTAAGCAATGACTGTTGCATATTGCACCTCATCTGCTAGTGCTTGTTTTTGTGAATTAAAAAAGAAAAGAAGAAAAGGTGTCAGGGTGCAGTGTGCAACGGGATATACCTTTGCTGTAGTTGTTCAGGTTTGTTACTGAAAGCCTGCTGTCTTGACCAGATCTTTCTCAAATCTTCCTGTGTGACTGGTACTTTAATGATGAAATCGTAAATAGTTCTCTCAGTGTGGAGTTCAGTAGTTTAGATTTACTAAGAATTCCCAACCACCAACAGCCCCTCCTCTCCCCCCTTGCAAAGTTTCCATTACAGACGATGAACTTTCTGGCTTTTATCTGGGCCTCAGATCAGTACATCAGCTGCAGGCTTCTGATTTAGCTTCAGATTCAAATTTCCCACGTGATAATTTGCCAAACACTTTCTGAAAAGTCTGCAAGATCTGTTTTGTCCTCTGATAGTGATATTCCCTCATATTCATAAAGAGCTGTGTTTCTTTCTAACATTTGATTGCTTATCACTTTTTTTTATTTTAGATTACTTTTAGATTACTTTTACCTTTTTTAGATTTACACTAATCTTCCTGCATACTGTTTTGTTTGATAACTTAAAATTATTTCCAAGAATTTCAGTCCTGTTCATGTTTATCTTGTATTCAGTTCCATCACCGTTTCTCCTTCCATCAGTGTTACAGTCTCTATTGATGAAGCTTTGGAACCTGTTCTTAAAAAAAAAACAATGGGTTTGTGAAAGGAGAGGCTGATTCTCTCTAACCTGATATTAAATGGGAATTTCCAGTGGGATTCGTGCGTTTAACTGTCTCTTTAAATCTCTTCTTTTTTTTTTAAAAAAATATCCACTATACAGGCCAGGAAGTCTGTAATTTGGATTGTAGGGACACTTGAAGTTATTTTGAGAAATATACATAGCTACATTTCAGCTTAAGTGGTTACGATTTTCAGAGCTGGAAGGCTGGTATGAGCTACAAAAAATCATAAAATTTTATTTTTAATTTGCATGATTCTTATTGGAAAATTGGCTTTTGATTACAAAATTTCTCATTTAGTATTTGGCTTTCACGCCTTTTTTTTTTCCCTTGGAAGTCAAGATTTTTGTGCTTATTTTTTATAAGGCATAAATCTTCCTCCATATATCATATGTATAATGAAATAGACTTTAATGCTGCTTGGGAAGTGACTGGATAAGCCTTTATTGAGAAGGGAAGGGAAACTGCCAGGACTCTCCAGAGTTGCTGTCAGCACAGTGCAGGTCAAACAGGTCTAAGGACTCATCAAAGTCTGCAGTGGGGTATTTGTGTGTGTGTGTCCAACTTCAAAACAACCTGTCAGGCCCTCAAGGTGACTTTTTAAGTATGTAATGCAATAATGCTGCCAAATTTTGTTCTTCTACAGGTGGTTTAGGAACGTTTCATGCTTTATTGAACTGTATTGTGCACGTCATCATGTACACTTACTACGGCATCTGTTCCTTGGGACCAGCCTATCATAAATATTTGTGGTGGAAAAAATACATGACCACTATACAGCTTGTGAGTATTTTTCTGCTTGACCTGAACATCTCTTAGAGAGCTCATTGTGACTAACGCAGACTTTATGCAGTGATTTTTACTTTGTTTTATTTAGTTTTATGCAAAATCCACTCAGCTCTGCTGATTTCAGCCTTTGCCCTGATATTTACACTTGAGGTTTTCAGTTAGGCAGGACTTGATGAATAAATTTACAGAACTCCCTGCCTGTAAACATGACTAGAATATAAGTTTTTACCAATAATAATATAATCTATTAGTATACAGAATACATATGCAAATAGAAATATATATAAAAAAGCCACCTTGAATATTAAGAATTTCTTGTCCATTCTTTCACAGAAACTGTTTGATTTTTAAGAAATTTCCTCTCTAATTCAGAACCTGAAAGCTTTTGCAATAATTACATTAACTCTTCTATTTGCAGCTTGGAAATAGACTCACTTGGAAATGGTGACCGCTCAGGATTCTTTTTATACTTGCTTTTTTTATAGCTGAATTTTCAAAACTCTGTTTCTGACCAAAATACTAGTTTGGTCTGATCAATAAGATCAATAAGATCAGACCAAACTTCTGCTGAGGTCTAGTGTTAATAGACGAGTTCACGTAACTAAGGACTATTTAGCCTGAACAATTATAACCCATTTAAAATCTTTTTGTCCTGGTGGTACAACCTGTGGATTAAAAACTCTCCTTTTACATGGAACATTTTTCTTGAAAAACTTCATAAAATAATGTGACAGTGTGCAAGGTAGGGCTGAGAGGAGACTCATGTTCACCACTCTTGCTGGCAATTTTTTCTAAAGGAGTTTCCCACTCATCCCTCGTTACACAGGTCTGCACGTCTGCATTTTTTGTTTGTTTATTCGTTTCCTTTTCTCTGATCTGGAAAGTGCAGACTTCCTTTCAGTTTACCCCAGAGCTTCCCTTTCTTTTTCTCTGTTAAAAGTTTTTTTTTGGGGGGGCAGTAACATCTTTGGATCTAAAGGAGGTGGCTCTATAGGTCCACCTCCATAACAGACGAAGTCTCCCCAACCTTGTTGGCTTTATGTATGTAAGGTAATTTGTTTACTAAGTTTATTTTAAAAATATTATTTTCCCTTATCTTTCTTCTCCAGGTCCAGTTTATTATGGTAACGGGCCACATAGGACAAATCTACGTTATGGAAGATTGTCAGTACCAGTATCCAATTTTCATGTTTATTATTTGGCTGTATGGCTCTATGTTTTTAGTATTGTTTCTGCACTTCTGGTACCATGCGTACACAAAGGGGCAAAGACTACCAAAGATGACGAAAAATGGGATCAGGAAAGATCAGTAAAACAAACTCTTGTCTACAAAAATGTGTATATCTCAAAATGGAAACTTGTACTACTTGACAATCAAGGTATTTAGGTGCACACACTACACTGTGTATATTTTGTATGTTTTTTTTTCCAAAACAGAGTTTGTATTTTTACCGTAAGTTATTTGGGTTTCAGGATTTTGGGGCGGGGGAAGGGGAAACAACATGGATCTCAGATTTAAAAAAAAAAAAAATTAAAAACACCTTGTGCTTTTCTTTTCCCCAACTACGTGTTCATCTCTGTCCTGTTAGAAATGACTGGATAGATGATCTCTATCTAGGAGATGCATGGAAATGCAGATACTCATTGGGGATAGTTAAAATGTGTATGACAAGTACATAGTACTTCGAACACTGAGGAAAAAAGATACTTCACCTTGTTATAAACTGCTGAGAATGAGAGCTGCTTTTTATTAAAAGAATGAAACTTCAATAAATACAGTCTATGGAATCTAAAGATTATCATTAATATTGCTAATACATATAGACATCGCTGTATGTGTTTACCAAGTACATTATATTAAAGAATGGGATATATCTTAATTTGTCAAATATAGTCTTACTTTTAAGATGATAGATTTTTATTTGGATATACCCTATTTTACTAAAATACATTAAATCATTTCATATAGGAAATTTATACGCATTCAAGATTACCCTAAGTGCAGGAAACACCTACTAATTTAAACATTTTCTGACCGCTATTCGAATGTTATGTGTAATGATCAAAAAAATCCTACTGCTTTGTTCAATAAATTATCGAAATATTATTGTTATTACTTTATATGTCTGCAAATATATTTTCCTCTTGGTAGGCTAGAATGTTTAGGGGGAAAAAATCTTGTAATTCAATAGCCAAAATCTTAGTCTTCCAGAAACTTTTTTTAAAGAAACAGAGTTTGATTGAAGCCTAGATGGCAGCTGGTATGATTGTCCCGTGCTGTTCTCCCCCATTCCCTTCATGTACTGAAATATATTCCTCAAAAAGTTTGTTTTCTAGCAACTCCATGTTAATGTTTCCTCATTAATAGCACTCTGCCTCTGCTCTCTGGTGCTTGGTAAAAAGACACATGCCCTTCTCTGGACTATTGAGAGGGCCAGTGGGGCAAGCAGTGCTCATGGGGCTGCACTGCAGCCCATACAGAATCAACCAACATGTTGGTTTCCTTGGCTAGGCAGGTCGCTAGTGTCACATGTGCAGAAATTCAAGGACCTACTTAGATGTGTGGAAGTTGCACTTACACTGCGGGTTTATTAAGGAAATACTGTATGCAACAGGCCTGTAAATGAGATGTTAACGAAGTTTAAAGGAAAATGTTGTATTTAAATGTACTATTATGATAGGTATTTCTATTATGCTTAGTGCTAACAAAAAAGAAGCTTGTCATTTTTTTTTGTTTTATTTTGTTTCTTGGTGCTTTGTACCTGATTGGATGTATGGGATTTTCAAATACCTTAAACTTTCAGGGATTTTTGAATTGCCTTCCTGTTGCACAATTCCAAGAAAGTAAATTTTGCTACCTGGATACTTTTATGGCAATACTGACATTTATTGTGTTCTGTTAACGCTGAAAGAATTTACTCTTTATCTTGGACATGAGTTGCAAATGGTTTCTTACAAAGTTACCTATGAGTCTCCTTTATAAAACAAATAAAGTAATTTATATTTTATCTCTCTACTGTTTAATCCCTGCAGCTATCAAAGGTTGTGGCAGACTGAAAATTAAATCCCAGGAAACACTTCACTTGAGGTGCCTATTGCAACCCCCTCATTTTTAGCTGCTTGATGCTAGAATCCTCTTCCCCCAGTTGAGGCTCCGTGGCGGGGTGCGGAAGCCGGGATAGCCGGGATGCTGCCTGGGGGCCACCCTGGCTGCCAGTGGCCGTTGTGATCGCTGGCCATAAGTGTGGAGCTCCAGCTCAAGGTTGTGTGTTCTTGGGTTCCAGGGTAGGCACCTACCGCTGTTCATTCAAGCCACTGCACAGAACTTGCCTCTTGTTGTTAGAGCTTGAGTGCTCCCCATTTTTTTATATGTTTTCCCAAATGAAAGTTTTTCTTCACTCACTAGTGAAGAAAAGGGACAACTTGGTTGATGGCCTTCTGGAGTCTAAGGGCCCAAACATAGGTATGGGAATGGGAGGCCTCCCGGGAAAAGCTGAATCTTGCTAATTTGAGTTGTGAGCTGGAGGCTGCTTCTCGGCCTCTCCTGCAGGGCAGGGGGACATTGCTGGGTACTCCTGTGGATAAGCAGCGAGGTGCTGGGGGAAGTCCTGCCTCTGGTTTCTGATTTTACAAAGCTCTCCCTTCAGGTCTTGTATTCAAAGTGCATAAATACGCAGGTATCAGTACCAGCTGGACGTTTTCTAAAAGGTAAGAGATGTCCCCTCTCTATCAACAAAAGCCTCTAGAGCCAGATACTTGAAATTAAGAAGTAATAAACTGCATTAGAAAGAGAAGCTGCTGCTTGTACAGGATATTGCCAGCAAGGCCCACTCCGTGTTCCTATTACGTAGTTCCTTACTTGCACACTGGTTTAGTTATTTGAATGTTATGGAGAGAACTGCCAGTCATTTTGCTGTTCTGTCCTCTGTAGTTTTACTTAGTCAAAAAAATAGGAATACAAAGGCAATGTAGATTTACAAGTTTTTCCTGCAAGATAAATAGTTAATGCAGCAAGCATTTTGTATTTAAAAGCTGTTGTGCTATCACGGTCCTTTTGGCTATAAAACAGAAACCCTGTTTTTATTAATCATTTTCCCCAAATGTTGGGCTTAACTCCTGTAACAACCTATAACAGAGCTTGCTTTGCTGCTTGACACACCGACTAGAGGCGGTTGGAGAGGAGTGTTATAGCAGAGCAGTGTATGGGTGGATATTGAGAGGTTGCACATAGCCTAAGTATTCTAGTGCCATCAGTACCAAAGGTGCTAGCCCTCCATGGTACACATCGTGTTGGAGCCTGTGGCAATTATAGCCCTGGCTTCAACAGTCACATATCTTTCTGCTCAAAAATTGTCCATCTTACATGTTTAAATGTATTGTAAATTGCAGTATTGCTAGGAAGGGGGACATCTATTGATGTGAGGTGGGTTGAAATGCTGCTCTTCATGGATGTGGCTAAGATGGAATGTGATTGCTGCCTGCTGTAATGGTCCTGAAAATGGACCTTTCTGAAAACTTTTCCTTTCTGTGAGGATTAGCAGGAGAAGGACCCATTCTTTTCATCCAGGTGGTCACAGAGAACGTACACTGGTGCCTTGAATGTTTTTCAGATGTAAACCTGGGCCCTATTCCTGAGCCCTTTTTTTTATCCAGTAGGAAGCACAAGGGGCTGAGGGTTGGTTTACAAGTGAGGTAACACAGTTTCCAGGCATGCTCTCCTCCGGCCGTTACCAGAAGCAGGGCTGAGGCCAGTGTGGCTCCCAGCTCTCCTTTCACGGCGTTTTATGTAAGAGCAGAGCCTCTCAGTGCGTTCGGAGCCCTGTGCAGGGCAGCACTCCGGTTACACGTCCCTAGTTCTGGTTCTAACCCGTCACCTGCTCCTACCCGGCCCCCAACGACTCCCCCGCGCGGCCGTTACAGCCCCCCGCGGGCGGGGCGGAGGGCACTCTCGGCCAATCACGTGCGGCAGAGCGCTTGTCACGTGAGGCGCCGCCGCCCAATGGCGGGAGGCGGCTCCTCGCGGGCCGCGATTCAAACGGTCGGCGGGCGCGGCGCGTGGTCTCCGTGGAGACGGCGGCGCGGCCTGGCCATGGAGCCGCGGCTCGTGGGGCCCGGGCCCTACCGCGCCACGCGCCTGGTGAGAGCTCCCCCCCGCTCCGGTCCCGGTCCCACTCGTGTCCACGGGGAGCCGCGCCCGGCCTGCCCGGGGCGAGCGCACGTGCGGTGGGGATGTCCCTTGCGCTGGGTGGGCCGCAGCCTTTGCTCAAGCAAAGCCGGGGGCAGGCTGCAGCCTTAGCTGCGGGGGCCCTGATACTGCAGCTTGCCAAACCGGGCCTCTACGTGCAGATTCTAGGTGCTTAAATGTTAGCTTTAAATTTCAACAGTGCTATAAAGAAAAAAAGGTGATGAAAGTGCATGTGCTTGCACGTTCCGATCTGAGCATGTCTTAATTTTGCCCTGCAAGGCTAAAGAGTCTCTAGCAGGAGAGCTCCCATAGCAATTTTGTTTGCTCCTTTTCTGCAGTGGAACGAGATAATTGAGCTCTTTCGCTCGGGGATGCCCTTGCGGAAGCATCGGTGCCGCTTCAAGAGCTACGAGCGTTGTTTCAAAGCCTCGGAGGCCGTGGACTGGCTGCACGAACTGCTTGGCTGTAATCAGAACTTCGGCCCCGAAGTCACTCGCAGTCAAACGGTTAAGCTGCTTAAAAAATTCCTGAAAAATCATGTTATTGAAGACATTAAGGGAAGATGGGGCAAAGAGGACTTTCAAGATGATGGCCACTTATATAGGTAAATGTTTTCACAAAGACTTCACAAAAGTTGTTTTTTGAAAACAGAGTAGTAACATTTGTATATCGGTTTTATAGCAATTTCTGTAAAATGCATTTGATATGATATCACTGTTTCTTTTTCTGCCTTCCTGCTAGTTGCTTCCTTTTTTTTTCTTAGCAGTATGCAAGTGTTGTCATTTAATATTTGGGTTTTGGGACACACTTGACTTGAATTCATCTTATGAATGCTAACAAAAACTTTTGTTGCATTTATCAGCTAGTAAGAATTCTGTTGTTAATAGAGGCTAGATTTGTCCATTTTGATTTAAGATAAGCTAAGGAGATATTGGTAGGCGTGAGAACAGTGCCGAGTATACAGCCTGCTTTTAATTCTTTCCACTCTTAACCAGGAACTTTGGATTTTCTTTTTCATTCTTTTTGAGAAAATAGAAGGTTTTTCTGAATTTCAGGGTCTTTCAAGATTGATCATTTTTTCTGTGCACTGTGGGTCAAAGATTGATCCTCTAGATAAGAGATGAAAGAAGAAGTTAAGGGAAAAAAGAGTGTTTTATGACTTGCCCTCAAGAATGTTTACCTACCTCTGCTTGTCTCTTAACTGATGTCTTGTTATCAGGGGAAAACAATTTTATTTGTTATGGAAGCCTCGTCTCAGTGGAGCAGATCTTACCTTTTTGTGAGTCCAGTTAATGACCAGGTGTCCATGTGTTGAGGGCTCTGAATTTGTCACTGCATTTTCCTGCTCCCTGAAGAATCAGTTTAAAATGTGCTTTAAATTGAATGTATTTTTGTAATATGGGGGTGAGTCCCTTCTAGAGGAACAGGGAGCTATTCTCTAACAGAGCAATAAGGAAAATCAGTCAGCAACAATGCTTCCTTTTGCTTGTTAATCTTTTCTTTAAAGAAGTTTTATAGTCTTTTCTTAATGGTTGCTCAATACGGTCTTTGAAAAATGGCTGTAAAATTGAAAACCCCCTTGATGTGGATGGGGTCAGTTTCTCATCTTCCTTTATGATTTTATCTGTCCTGTTTGTGAAGCGGGTGGCTAACCTTTTTTAGGTCTGGGTGGATGGATGGCTAACCTTTTTTAGGCAGACCTACAAACAAGGCTAAGCGTGGCTCTTCCCTACTCTGAACTTTATTACATGGAGCACTTTAAAGTAGGAACTCTGTGATGCATGCGATAGACACTTGTTGAGAAACTTTCCTACAAAGTAATCATGTTTAGAAGTCAACTCTGTTTTTTGACAAACTTATTCCAGTGGCGTTCAGTTTACTTGGATTTGTACGTAGTTCAGCAACAAACTAGCCCTTGCTTAACTATGTTGTTCATCATGATTCTGCATAACATCGTTCAGAAAAAAAGCAGTTCTTTATCCAGGCTTCCTAAGGAAGCAGCACTGAATCCGTTCTGAGTAACGCTGCCTTTCTGCTGAATAAGTTGATCAAAAGACTCAAATTAAGACATCTCTCTACGAGCATAAGCATAAGCATTTTGAATGATTAGAGAATGAATGCTCTTAAGACTCAATGTCATAGTCCATATTCCATAACCAATGTATTTGGTTAATAAATGAAACAGATAAATGAAGCATGTGGCTGAGGGTAACATTTTGTTCAGTTTTACCAGAGTGTGTTAAAACCCTGCAGGCTGGTCTTGTTTCTTCGATGTTCCTGTGGCTGTGTAGTTGCTCAGATCAGTTGCTAACATGAACACTGTGCTTCTCCCCTCCTCACCTGCATAGTTCTGTCCTGCAAATGGGTTGGCTAAGACAACTTAGTGAGTGTGTGGTGGCTCATGGCTGGAGATGATGGGATAGATCGAGATATTGGCATGTGCAGGTGGGAGCCGAGCAGGAGACAGCAGGGGCCTCATGGCAGCAGTCACGACTTCAGCTCTTCGAGAAAGAGAACGTGGTTATCTTGTCCACCTGATATTAATGGCCAAAGAGCCTAAAAGTTACGAGACTGGATAAACTAAAATGCTAACTAGTTCTTTCAAACAAGCAGAAAGCCACACTTTGAATGCTCTTCAGTCTTAGTCTGGAGCCTTGGGGAATTAAGGACCTAAATAAAGATAGGCAAGAGCATCAAGTTTGCTGTGGCTTGTTGTGCAAACACATAGAGTGAAGCTAAAGGTAAATGATATTTGATATAAAAACTTAGGTAGCTCAACTAGTCTACAAGTGTCTATTTAATGAAAAAATACATAAGAACAGAAAGAAATTGTGATGGGACTGGACTGCCTAATATCTGGTATCTTCTTGTGTTCTGTGTTAGTAATGGATAGTTGAAGTTGGTAGTTGAATTTGAGGGAAAGCTGTTATTTTTCTCTTCAGAATTCAAGATTTTCTTGTGTGAAAGAAATCTTTCACATGTATTACCCACCCGTGTCATATGTGCCTTTCTCTTGACATCTCTGATACTGGCTCCCAAGTCTCTGCATCTTTTGTTAAGGTGCACTTATCCTTCTGATATATTTTTTTTCACTGTAGAGTATTTGTCAAAGTATTCTCTTGTGAGAGCTGACCACTCAAACTGAAACTACCCTTAATTCAAGAGAAGCCGAAGAAAACCTTGCCCCAAAAAAAAAAAAAAAAAAAAGGCAGGTGGGAGAAATGGATTAGATGCTCCCTCCCGTGAAATGAAGGGCTGCTATGTGGTTTGGGTGATGCAAATAACAGCCTTGGCAGAGCTGGTGGCTCTTTTGATCTTGACTCAATATAGGTTTCTGCTTCATGTATTTTCCTATGTAATGTATTTTATGCATCCATTCTTTATCAGTTTATATTGTCAAATATGTCTGATATGAGCAAATATTCACATCCTCATCTGTTCTTCAGGAAAGCCTTTTGTTGTCTTAATGTCCTTTTTCGGCTTCCAGTTCAAAGGGTAATTGCGTTACTAATGGAAGTTTGATATTTTTAATAAAATTGCGTTCTTTTTATGCAGGATATATAAATAAACAGTAGACTAATCATATTTTTAATGTGTGACTTATTAACACACACCACTCTCTTGTTTCAACAACTAAACTTTTTTTTTTTCCAGTCTTCCTTTATTTGGGGATTTAATGTCCTGGCAGCTCCCTCTGGTGGCCTTCCTAATTTTACTCTGTAAATACAGTTCTCGTATATACAGGTTGGTGTGCGTTACAAATGCAAGCAGCTTTTAATCCCTTTGACCATTTTTACTCTGGAAACCTTGACCTGAGCTCATCTCTTTTATAAATTATTACCATTTTTAACATAATTGCCACTATACATGCACAGCTGTTTTATTAGAAACAATGTGGTTAAATCTTTCAATAACTTTGGATGCAAATGTGATTATCTGTTCTTATTCACTCATTGGAATATCCGAAGCATTCATGAATATTGCCCAATCATCATTTGGCTTGTTAGGCAATCTTTAAATAAGAAAATGAGAACTAGCGAGACTTCTAGAAATAGCAAAGACTGTGTCTGTGTCATGGCATACTCTCTCAATGTGGTCTACAACAGTACATAAGATTTATAGTTTTGGAAAGGTTTTACAGGTCTTGGAACCTAAAGAATTGCATTAAAATCAAAGAGGATAGCACTGCAAGATTGCTAAACCTCTGGGGAACAGCTGTGCTGCTTGCTTTATTGATGGTGTGGCTTACTGGAAAGCAATTTCTTGATAGGGAAAGCATGGAGAAAAGTAACATTTTGCTGTTGCACATGCATGCTTGCAAATTAAATCCAAATGTTACTCACGTGACTTTGTGTTGCATTGCTTTGGAAGATGCATATGGATGTGAACCTGGTACGGGAGAATCTACCTAGAGTTTTTTCAACAGACCCGGCGTCTTCTCATGAGAATCGAGTCAGTTGCCTGAATTTAGGCAGCCTGGTGTCTTTTGAGATGCAGGGGGTTGTTAGTCTTTCATATGTAGTTCCTAGTTGCATCATGGGTTATACAAGGGATTTACCTGATTCTAGAGGAGCAACTGGAGACCAGACAAGCTATTTTTAGGACATTTGGTCTTTCACTCAACATCCATCTTAGGCAACATCACCCTGGGGAGCTGAGGCATTTGTCATATGTATGCATGTGAAGGCCAACTACACAGCTTTAAGATAATTATGTAATTCAGAACTTACAGGCTTTAAAAAATGTTCTTTAATTTTAGGTTTCCTCCTTCTTCACCACTGAAACCATATCCAAAGAAACCTTCGTGTACAAAGGAAGTAATTAAATTTCCAGATTGGAATGAACCTATGAGTGGTGCTTCCCAAGAACACATCCTGGTAAAATCGGTCACAATGGTAGGTTTTGTTTTCATTTCCCCAAGCATATGCATATTGGGAAAACAAATAATAGAAATAAAGTGAACAAACAATATCTTAGTTGGATAACAAAATATTTGGCAGTGAGGTTAAATGAGAAGTACTTTTATTATTTTAAACTTAAGGGAAGTAGTTCTTAATCACTTGCCAGAGATGTTGATTTTAAGTGTTTTTTCTGCTGCAGGTGGCAGTGTCCGTAGCCATGTCCATGCTAAGCTCAGCATTTGACATTCATCATTTGTGGCACTGTTATACAGTGCTACTCTTTCTCTAGCTATTATGTTGTTAGGACTTCTATTCCCTTTATAACAATAGCTGTCTTGTGACTAATGAAAGGTGCTGCTGGATTCTTTGTTTGGCATTGTGAGCTTGGAGAATGGTCCTGCTCAGGCCTTACCTTCATTGATCCAGCCTTTCCAAAGCTGTTCAAATGTTGCCTTCATTAGCAAAACAGAGCTGCATCTCTTACACCCTTAACAACTTAGAAGCCTAGACCTTGACAGTTACACCTGTCCTAAACCCTTTCTTCAGGATTATCTTTCTCTCTCTCTCTGTGTGTGTGTGTGTGTGTGTGTGTGTGTGTGTACTCAGGCTTTTTGTAAACTGGAGGGACTTCTTGTAGTTGTCTTTTGCTATTAATGCTCTTCAGTGCAGCACATTTGCCCTGGATTTCTTGATTATCATTAGTCAGTCTGAAAAAGTAGCTCCTACTATTTGGCTGGGCATCTAGAAGTCATGAATCAATAGGTACTCAGTATTTGGAATTCAATTCTTTACATGCAATTCTGTACCCTTCATATATAGAAGGTTTCTGTCTTGAAGTAATATGCCTATTTCACAGCATATGTCTCTCCATGTAGCATTTCCCAGGACAAGAGGAAATTCTAGGATGTTACTGTTTAAAACCTGTGCTTCTGTGTTGCAAGATGTGACCTATTCATTTGAATGACATTAATCCGTGGTCCTTTTCTGAAGAAAAGTGGAATTTGAGCTGCCTGCCTGTAATTCCATATAAGTATATATTCATCTGAGTCTGTAGACTTGATTTCCGTCTTCATTTAGGCATTTTTGCCATTTTCCCTGTACCAGTTCCTAACTGTGTGGGCCACATGGTGAGATGGTTCAGTGAGCTGAGTTAGCTGGAAAGGTTTTGTTTATTTTGGCAGTTGTTGTTGTTTCTTCTCTGATTTGATTTCAGTCAAACCAGGACGCAAATCGTGTGGGCTGAAGCTAATGAAAGGGAAAGAACATGAGGAAAGGGAAACACAGGGAAACATGTGGCCCAGGACAAAGGGGAGAAAAGCACTCAGCAATTTTGGATCTCAATTTATTGTAAAGCCACAGGACAAAGAATGAATGGAGATGAGGAGGAGATGAATCTCTCTCTCTAGAGGAGAGATAATCATGGCACTTCAAACTTGAGATGATTTGCAGGGAAGGAAGAGAAGAGGATGCCAAATGGAGATTAAAAGAACACAAGTTTCTTAGTCACTGCTGCTCTTTGAAGATGTTACAGCCTTCAGCTGTCTTCCAGTAGAAAGGTGGACAAGTATCTGAAAGTACCAGTGTCTTAAAATGCCGTGGTATCTGAATATTTTATATATCATAATGATATATCAGGGTATCAATTACACACATGTTCTGAATATGTTTAGGGAACCAGTTATTCCACATTCATATACAAATACGTTTAGGGAACTAGTTATCTCCCACCACAAGCATTTCAGAGGTTGTTACCTGTTTCAAACTTCCTTAATCTGGTACTGTGGAGTGACTGAGAGACTATTGGTTGGAGTAAGCAAGCGCTTTCCTTGACTGCGTTTTTGGGTTTAGTTTTGGACATCTTGTTAACATGCTTTGAGGCCTAATCTGTGGTGTGAACCAAAGGTGCTTATGAAGTGATCAGGAGCTTGGAAAAATGTACTGCTGATTTAATGCGTGTACTGATGTGTTCCTGACAGTCTTCAGTAATGGAGGTGGGATTAGAAGTTCTTCCTGTGTAAAATCTTCCTGAAGAATTTACTATTTAGTTACAATTGGTGTATGCTGAATAAGAATAAATATCAGCGTTGGCTAATAATTCTTCAATAATTTCTCATATAAATGGTGGTGGAGAACAAGTGTCTTGAACAGACTTTAAGCACACAGCGAATCTGAATGTAGGACTGGATTTGAATCTGAATATAGGACTCCTGAATTTTAAGCGCTGTTCTGAGGCATTTTTTCTGACTTTGGACAAAATTTCATGAGGCAAAGATGCTTTGTGTTTTCAAAACATAAATACTTGCAACATGGTGAACTAGAGCTTTCGATTATATAAAGTACTTAGAAAACACACTATTCAATAGATGTACTATATGATATAATATTTATAAAAATATTATCTAAAATGTTTTTTTCTGATTTCAGAACTCTGAAATGTGGTATAAACGTCACAGTATAGCTATAGGAGAAGTGCCAGCAGGCAAGTTTATGTATCGCAGAGAGCTGACACAGGCAAATATAGAAGAGATCTGGAAATCCATGACGTTGACACGGTGAGTGGGCTTGAGTCACCTACTGCTGCACTAATCCTGCACGGTACGCCTGTGTTCTCAGACTTCTCTGCTCACATTTGTTAATTCATCCACTTGCCTCCTGTAGTTCATTGTGTCGTAGAACATGATTTATTTAGTGCAATATTTAGCCTGGGAATGCAAGAAATGGATCAGCTGATCATGAATGCAAAAGACTTTGTAAGACTGAGACGGTGTTTACTATTTCTAGAAGGAATATCCTATAGGAATTTAAAGGCATTACTCTAGACCAGTAAAAGCTTTTCCTGTAAAAATAAATATGTATTTCTGCAACACATCTACATGCTAAAACAATAAGGTCTCTTTCAGAGCTGTATCTACACTGATTATTACCTGTTTGTCACTTTTAGACTAGATGATGTATGAACTATATGTCTATATATTTTTACAGCTTACAAAAGACTTTAGGTTTGGATTCTCTGGAGGAAGTGCTAGACACAAAGCTTGTGAATGCTAAGCATATTGTTCAAAATGTGTACAGTGTCAATAAGCAAGGCATTGTCATTTTAGAAGATAAATCAAGTGAGTATTTCAGACATTTCTATTTAACTTTTTTGTAGTAGTAATTTGCTAATATAAAAATGTATTAACTAAATTAATGTGTAGCATCTTTGTATTTATAACCACATCTATACTAGAGTTTTTATGAAATAATCCATCTTTGTCCTCTCTATCTCCTGTTGGGAGGCTGTATTCATTCTTCCATGTTTTTGCCATCTCCAACATATTCTAACACTGCTGAAAGCAGCAAGTCTTCAATGATGAGGATGGGGATTATACTCGTTTAGACTGGCTTTGTCAGCCCAAGCCTTGGCTATACCTGAATCGGAGGGGGCTACGTGAGGTCCATGTGTATCATAAATTGAGAAAGCATCAAAAATACACTGAGAGGGGCTTAAATATTTCTCAGTTTTGCATCTTCAATCAATGTGTTCATTTTGAAATTTAGTGCCAAGTTTAAATCCTTTTTGATGCATCAGGAAGAAACTGAAGCCTCTTTGCTGCTGTCATATATTACTTTAGATATTGTTGATACTATATTTTCTGTGAGATGGGTAAAGAAGTAAAATATCAGATTAGAATGTGGTTTAGTCTGTGAATAAAAGCATATCCAGAGTGTATGTATTCATTTTACAGACATTTGGACAGTTCAAGAGTATAACCTCCCTCCCTTGAGAACTGGATTTGTGAGCGCAACTTCAGCGCAAAGCAAACACTTGACTGTAAAGCCCTGTTGAATGTGTAATTTGAACTACTTCGGCTAATTTTTGAAAGACAGATAAAGAGTTTCTTAATAGGATCCATTTTGCAGATTGAGCTGCAAGGGCAATAGGTGCAAGTGATTGTTATTGTGTATTGGAGGTGTAGATCTGAAAGTGTAGATCTGACTAGAGCTAATAGAAGATATTTCTATGTTAGGAGATAACTTGCCTGTTTAATTACTCAGCTTCGAATTAGAGACACTTTCTAAAATAGAAGATCCTTCAACTTCAGATTTATTTTAGTTTAACAACTAAATTCTCTTTTTTTCTTCCCTCCCCCCCCCCGCCCCTTCCTTTAATTTATTCCTCTTCTCCCCTATGCAGAGGAATTACCTCACTGGATATTGTCAGCAATGAAATGCCTAGCAAATTGTAAGTATATTAAGAAAAAAAAAACTTGCACCTCTACCACTTCATAAAATATCTCTTATATCCAAAATTAACTATTCTTTATTTTCTGATTGTGGACTAGAGAGCAGTTGGAAAGACCTACCACTGTATGTTCTCCTGTTACTGTAGCCTATTTCTCTGAAATGTGAAGTGTTTAACAGTTATTCATACTTATTTGTTGTATATGTTTTCACCAAGTCTGTTGAAATGTAAGCGTAATATAACTTTGAATAATGACTCTTCTACTTGAAGTTACATTTCTATTGACTAGAATAGAAAACAATCTTGCTGGTAGCTGCCCATGAAATTATGTTATTTTTTTTCCTTAGGGCCGAGCTGCTCGGATTTGAAGCAGCCTACGTATTCAGGCTTTGAGAGAGATGTCTTCAAAACTATAGCAGACTACTTTGGCCAGATGAAAGAGCCTCTTCTCACGTTCCATCTTTTTGACGTTTTTGTCAGCGTGTTAGGTGAGTAGTAAGGCATGTAACCACAAGGGTCCTTTTGAATTAACTTTTGTGGATTAATATACCATACCAAGTGTCAGAAATTGCTTTCGGACTAGTTCTATCCATTCTGCATATGCACAGAAGTGTTTATTATTTAAGTTTATTGAACATACTAACATTTGTATGGGTTGAAATGATTCTTTCTGTAGCATCTTTATTATGACTAGTAATTCCTTAGTGCCACTTGTAAACATATGTACCAGTATGCATGCCAAAATCTTCCTTTGAACTTTAAAACAGCTTTGCTCTGAAAATGCAGTTGGTTACAATGCTTTACTATGGTTTTTTGAGTACCGTCACTTTTGGCTGCGTGCTTACTATTGCGCTTTTTTGTTCTTATTTTAACAACGTACATGGATGGTGAGGTGGAGATTGCCCAGCTAGGCTCAGAGAGTTGTCATCAGCAGACACGTAAAGTCCAGCTGGAGGCCAGTCACTAGTAGAGTACTCCTGGGATCGACACTGGGGAACTGCCATTGAACAGCTTTGTTAATGACCCAGATCGTGAGATATGGGAGGAGGAGGAAAAAAAAAAAAAATGACAGATGAATCCAGCTTACTGTAGTACCCTGGATTTTTGCTAATATCCAGAGATATAGGTTATGGTTATTAATATTGCCCTGCATATTGAAAGGAAGACTTGAAAGCACTTAAAGTGCATAGTGTGAATTGATTCTAATTCCAGGGGTGTCTTCCTGGATGTTTTTGGTGACTTGAGTTTTAGCAGAGTATTAAAAAAGTAGAGAAGGAATTTCAGAGGACGGTTTGAGAAATGTATTTCAAAAGTTAGGAAAAAGTTAAATTCTCAAATGTCGCTGAGTTTTCTCATCTCCTATACTTCAGGTCTACTGCAAAAGCACAGCAAGGTCATAGAAGCTCTTCAGATTTCCTGTCTCCTGCTACCTCCAGAAAACCGGAAAAAACTGCAGCTATTGGTGAGGATGATGGCAAGAATTAGCTTTAACAAGGACTTGCCACCTCTTTCTGAATCGGTGACAACCAGAACCTTGGTATGTATAGTCTTAGACAAAGACTCTAGACAGCACTTCTGGAGTAGCTTAGATAAAAGGTTCTTACTGGAGAATGAATGGGAAATACACCTTGCCTGTTCACTAAAGAGTTCTACTCCAACTATGTGAAAAGCTACTTTGAATTTGGAAAAATCAAGGTGTCTTTAAGATGCAAACAAATAAGGAATGAGCTCAGAATTTTGAGGTTTCTCTATCTCTGAAAGTAACATCTCAACTGGTTTTCCTCACAGACTAGTGAGATTTGGACAGATTAAGTGTGGAAAAAATAAAATATAACAGAAGGTGAGGTCTCTAACTTTATTTCTCACTGCAGAAAGTGAGAAGACGACAAGGAAAAATACTGCTTGTTTCAGTCATAATTAAAAGGAAGTAGCCGAATATTCTGGTTTTGATTTACTTGTTCTATACCGTTTTAAAAACATCCTACCAGATAAAATTATTTCCTAATTCTGTATATCACTTAACTTCAAAAATATTCGTCTCTGAGAGTCATTTTAATCAAGTTTCGTCAAAGCCCTAGCTTATGTTAATGCTTTTTCTACAGAACTATTTGTGGAGTTAGCACTGATGTTTGCAACAGCATGTTATGACAAAGTCAAATTGGTATTTATTGTGCTAGGCATAATTTACAGAGATTCCATCTGTCTTAGAAACCTCTTTCTTTACGGTTAACTCTCAAAGCCCCTTCAGGGGAAAGGGCAGCAGAAAACAAAACAGTAGTCACTCCACAAAAATCATAGTTGCACGCATGAACCTAAATTTGTTCTATATCAATTAAGATTTTAATTAACTATGAACGGTATTTGATTAGAATAATTAAATTCTTGTCTGCTAAGGTTATAATTTAATTAACTATAAATATACTTGATTAAAATTGCTATAATCTACATGTTATTTTTAGAAATGATTCCTTTACCACTCGTGTACTTCATGCTAAGTATTTTTGCTGCAGAATATAATATCTATGACACATGGCAGAAAACCAACACTTTGTTTGCCTTCTGTGCTTAAAATGTTAGTGACTTATATTCCATCAGAAAACTCTTACAAGTAATTCTCTAGCCTGAATAGCTGAGCCTGAGACTGCATAAAGTGAGCTGGACCTGAACTTCACTTACCTTAGTATTTGAAAATTATGACATTGTTATATGCTTCTAAAAAATTGCTTTGTCATTTTTCAATCTTTGAAACTTGTGCCCTGTTTAATGGGGAAAGCCAAGGAAAATGGCTATTCAGCCAAACTCTGAGCAAAAAATGGACCTAGCCATTATATGTATTTGCAGCAAGACATGTCATTAGTCCACTTGTACTGTGTTGCTGTACAATACTCTCTTTATTTTAATATGTTGATGTATTGGAAATATGGTGAGTTTTTACTTTGGAACTTTGGAAATCTTTATCTTAAAATATCACCTATTTAATACTGTCTCACCACTTTTTCCCCTATTAATAGAAAAGTAAATCCTTTTTTTTTTTTTTTTTTCCTTCTCCTTAGATGGTTCAGGCGTTTTCTCGTTGTATCCTCTGCTCAAAGGATGAAATAGACTTGGATGAACTGCTTGCTGCTAAACTAGTGTCTTTTCTCATGGACAATTATCAAGAAATCCTAAACATCCCTTCTTCCTTAAAAGCTTCTGTGGAGGAGCATGTTGTACATCTCCAAAGAGTCCAAGTAGGTGTCTAGTAGAGAAGTCTTGTTTTTTGTGCTTTAGTAACAAACTTATCCTTCTGTTCTTGAAAGCCTGACAGATTTTAAAGATTTTTATCTTTGCTAGTATATGCAGAGCTAATTAATTTTCACTGCTGTCCATCAATCACAAGTATGTATTTTAACTAAACTGAGCAGATCATGGGCTGTTTAGAGACAAGAACACCTAAGCATGTCCTGTTGTTGGTCAACTATATCTTCAGGGAATGGAGTCCTGATCTGTGAAATTTATGGTACTGAAGAAAAACTGTACAGGGTATTGAGTGTTTCCATTAATGTTCTGTTTTTCGGGGAGAGCTTTCCTTATTTACTCAACTTTTCTGTAGTTTTTTTTCATTTTCCCCAATATTTTATTTTTCTTCAAAGCTGCTTCCTTTTGTTTTCTTCCTTAATTTGTACCATAATGGCTAGTCACTTTAGGTGTTTACAAAAATGAGGCAAGCTTTCTTGGTGTCGTGTTTTCTGACTTGCTAGAACTCACCAGTGGAAGAGACATGAAGCAGAGCCTCAGGTCTTTATATCTTATTTTCATTTAGGGACTTGGTCCACTTGATTAAGCCTCTTCTTCCAAATTTATTCTAGAATTAATATGCTTATTTTCTTCAGATAAAATATCCTGGAGCTGACACTGATGCAACTTTTCCTGCTCCATCATTTTGTCACCAAATCAGCACAGATGAATTTGAATCCCAAAGGGCAAATGGCTCTCAAGAACCACTGGTAGCTTTATTGGAAGAAATTGCAATGAATAAAGAAATATCTGTCAAAGACAAGAAGAAGAAACTCAAACAAGTAAATAATTCTTTTACAGTCTTAGTTTCTCTTGAAAACTAGATATCTATAACTCTTAGATTTTTTTTGTAATATTCTTAGGGTTTTTTTTATATTATTTAGAATAGAGGTATTGCGATGAGTGAAACCATATTGGAAAATAACACTTGTCTCTCTATATAGATGGATGTAGAGTGTCTCCAGTAGATGTATATAGAGTGCAGTAGAATCTGTATTTTCATATTCCATAAGTGGAAGTGGCACTTTAATGTTAAGTTTTGAAGTATATTCTTCATTTTATATTATTGTATTTTTCTAGTTTCAGAAATCTTACCCTGAAGTGTATAGAGTACGATTTCCTACTCCTGAAGCTGAAGCAGTGCTATTTCCAGAAAAAAATAAACAGAAGCCACCGATACTGATGTGGGCCTTAAAAAAGCCTTTTCAACCCTTTCACAGAACCAGAAGCTTTCGGATGTAAATGGCTGGTAATTCAGCAGCAAGCGGAATCCAAGCATATTATTGATGGCTATTCTGCAAAAGGAACATGACTAGCATGTAATTACTCAAACTACTGGAGTAGTAGTTCTACTGCTGGCACAGTAGAATAGATCAAAAGAGGAGGCAAGTACTGAGGAGGTAGAAATGTGAACCTTTTACAGTATTATTGTAAATCATTTTTAATAGCTTTTTTTTGAGGGAAAAAAAGAGATGGTTAATCTGTGTGGATGGTAACACATTGACTGTTTTCCAACCATCCTTTGATGCTCTAAATATGTTTTTCTTGGACGTACTGTTAGTGTTTGGTAAAGAACATGATTCCCCTTGAAAGTAAGTCTTTTGTATAAACTGGACTGTATTTGTTCTCATATAATTTGAGAAAGTAATGTGTTGTATATGAATATGTATGAAACACTGGATTTTGTAGTTTGTTGTGTACTTGATAGTGCTGTACTTGATACATAAGGCTCATTTCAGGTAAGTGTGAAAACTTGTCCTAATTTTCCTGTTTTATGTGGTAGGTTACAGCTTGAGTCAACTCCTGCTGAAGTTTGATTAACTCTTATAGTTTGAACTCAAGTTCTTAAAGCCATTACCGTACCTCTTACCAAGTATTCCTTTTCAAAATTGAACATTTATCTAAAAGAAATTTCACACTTAATCAAAAAAAAATCCAAAGCAGCGTTGCACTTCCTCTGGAAAGGAAGGCGAATGTGCAAGTAGCTTTAAAGGATATGTCACGCTTTTTGTGTTATGAAATACACTGTATCTGTAACTTGACTATGTGTAGCTTGATTGGTTCAGACAGCACTTCTGAACTATTAAAGCATTAACTTTTTCAAATATTTACCTAGTGGTGGTTTCATGTTATGCATTGGATTTTCAGTGAGCATTTCCCGTATTGAATCCCCCAAGTAGATTCTGTGCAGGTGAGAAGGTAGCTGACGTCTCATCAAACTTTTATCCGAAATTCTAATAAGCACCGACTATTCTGTAATGCAACACTGAGAGCATTTTCACTTTGAACTCGTACCTAGTCAATGAGTTTCAAGGTTACATTGGGTTAGTAGATTGGAATATTCCTTAGGCGTTGTGCTTTTGATGAGCCAGCAGCGTGTCCTCATGGTCAGGGATCCCGGCTTGCGGTGGGAGGATGTTGCCAGCAGGTCGAGGGAGGGAATCCTGGCCCTCTGCTCAGCCCTGGTGAGGCTGCGTCTGGAATATTGGGTGCAATCCTGGGCTCCCCAGCACAAGAGGGATGTGGAGCCTCTATAGAGGGTCTAGCAGAGAGCGACCAAGAAGATGGAAGGGAGGGGAGCATCTCTTGTTTGAGGAGAGACTGAGCAAGCTGGACCTGTTTAGTCTAGGGAAGAGTGAGAGGAGATCTGATCGACACGTACAAATACCTAAGGAGAGAACGTAGGGAGGAAGGGGCCAAACTCTTCCCAGTGCTGGCCAGTGACAGGACAAGGGGCAATGGGGATAAGTTGAAACACAGGAAGTTCCATCTGCATGTGAGGAAGAGCTTCTTCACTGTGAGGGTGCCAGAGCCCTGGCACAGGCTGCCCAGGCAGGTTGTGGAGTCTCCTTCTCTGGAGATCTTCCCAACCTGCCTGGATGCTGCCCTGTGTCCTGTGCTCTGGGTGTCCCTGCTGGAGCAGGGACGTGGAACTAGATGATCTCTAGAGGTCTCTTTCAAACCCCAACAATTCTGGGCTTCTGTGATTTTCACACATCAGTTATACTTGAGTTTCATTTCAATAATCTTAAATTAAGCAGAAGTAATACTTTGATATTTGCTCTAGTCTTCTATATATGCTTAGGTACAATTGAAATTAAACTATCATTAATCCATGAAGTACAGTAATGAGTTAGGCTAGTAGGAAGGGTTTACCTGTGCTTAAAAAGTGCAAACTCGGACTAAGGCAACACTGACCTCACCTTTTCTGCAGAGGAGAGGTAGAAGCCAATCTATTAGTCATAAAAAAATAATTTCTGTTTACAGACAAGCCTTTTAGGATTGCCCTGGATCTTTTATTCCCATTGTTCCTCCTTTTTTTTTTTTCTCCCTCCTCTCTCATTCTTAGTTTTCCTTAGCTTGATTTAAGCAATATTTTTTACGTAGTTGTATTTATTTGGAATTTAAACTCAAATTTAAACTTTAGTTTACCAATTAGATTCCCTGAGAAGAAACTGAGTCAAATGCTTCTATGAGTCAAATGCCTTTTCATTTCAAATAATTCCCTTCTTGACTGTGGTAATAAATAAATAAAACAATTCTGCCTCTTTTTATAATTCCCATACCAACCAAAAAAGCTCCAAGGGTCTATAGAGAACTATATCCAAAATCATTTTAACTTGCTCAAGCTTGGAGGCATGAAAGCTTATCATAGCAATAGCAGAAGATACGTGACTATGGCTACTGTTTATATTTCATACACGCCTTTATGACTGGACCGACTGCACGGGTGCCAGAGGACAATGGTAGGAACAAAATAAGTACGTTTGCTTATTTCCTTGAGGGTGGAGGGTGAAAGAAGGGTGGCTTCTAGAAGGTTAGTTTGTAAGCTATAGTCATAGAAACTTCCTTTTTTAACTTTTTCATTAAAGCCCTATATTGTCTATAGGTCCAAAATGGAACAGGTTGACCTCTTTTGGGCTTATTGCTCTTGAACGACGCAAGGGCCATAAGCCAAGTGTTCTTTTGTCCATGTCAGTGACGTTTTCCTGAAGAGCCACCCTGAATTAAGTGCTACAGCGTTTTGGTTGCTTTCACAGTTTACACAGACTCATCTTTGTCATCCAAGAAGAAAGTCTTAAATATCCACCTGTGAGCTCATAAGTAGGAGCTATTCCTCATCAAACTGGGGCAATGGTGCTTAACACCCTAATACCAAAGCAGCCATTAGCTGTCGTGGTACTATTATGTATTTTGCACAAGAGCCAGGGCCTCTGAGAAGAAGTTTTTTCTTTCATGCTAAGCTCTTTGCCACCAGCTCAGCATCTTTGCTTTCCTTCCACCCCTCCCTGAGCAGGATTCCTTTCCTGATCTAGTAGTTCCTCATGTCTGTCATCCATGGCTGCTTTGCTCTAGAGTCTCCTGGAAGAGGGAAGAACAGCACGGATCTTCCCTTAGGGAGACAGGCCTTTGTTTCTTACTGCTCTTGGTAGTTGTAGCTGCACTTTCTTTCCCTACACAAAGGCAGTTTACTCCAGCTCCCAAATTAACAACTGATCATCCTGAAAATCTTTTGGTTCACACATCTCAGTTTCTGCTGTAATCCTGGTGTCGATCGTATGCTGTGAGTAATAGTATTTGTCATTACCTACAAGGGTTGTTAATTGTTTTTACTTTGAATGAGTCTGTTTACTTCACCTACTGATTTATCAAGTTTGCCATATTGGTTGTTAACAGGTATAACTGCAGAGAATGATAGACGGCTGATGTAATTTTGTGGAGCTGTTCTCAGATGGTACTTTACTAATAGGAATTTTATTGGGCAAAATCTGGGTGATCTGATTGTCTTGTTCTCTTAAGCAGAAATTAGAAGTAAAGCTAAGAAGGCAGCATGCTGCTAAGCTGTGCACTTTAAGTTACTGCCATGGGATGCCAAAGTTTTTCCTTTCTCTTCTAAAAAAAAAAAAAAAAAAAAAATTTAACAACAACATAAGAGCTTCTCTTTCCTTTAGTTCTTTTTTTTTTTTTCCTTTAGCCCGTGTTAACTCAGTATGACTCACTTTATTTCTTGATCAGAATTTTTTAGATCTCCTATAGCCTTTCAGCTTATGATTTTAGTTATTTTAGCTTTAGGAGACATTTAGGTTCAGAATTCACAAACTCATTTCTTACTGATATTACTTTCTGGTATTCAAGTGCCCTTCAATTTTATTAACTTGGAACAGGTGATGTGCTTTGTATCAGCTGTACTGCACTAACATTGCTTTTTTTTTTTTTTTTTTTATCAGTTTCTTATGCTTCCAGCAGTAATACGGAATGAGAGTTTTCTCAGGAAAACAAAGCCTGAAAGAATTAAAAGTTATGCAAGGAAGTTTTTTAGCTGGGTTCAAATACTTGCAGTTTTAGTCATTGTTCATGAAATCTCTTGCTATGTTGGCTAGTAAATGTTTGTTTTTGTTTTTGCAGATACTCAGATATGTAATGCAGGCATATAATGTTAGGAAAAAAAATTCCTTATCATGTGTTTCTATTTCAATTGTGAACTTTCATGTAGTTCTATTGTGATAATTGTATAAAATAAAGGAGATGCTCGGGCCTGTGTTTAAAAAGAATGAAGCTGATAAATATGCATAACATTATTTCTAGAAGTAATTGAGAAAGGCAAGAGGTCTAAACAATATTAGTTAGGGGTAGTTACTTTTAAGTTCACAGCTTTCTGAGGACCTCTGACTATCCAGAGCTGGCTGAAGACTTCTCTGCTTGCTCTGGTAAAAGCAAGAAAAGATCAAAATAATGCCCAATACACCCTTATTCAAAACATCAAGTGGAAATAATCAAAATAACTAATGACAAATGAGTATGAGAGCAATCCTGGGCAAAATGATGGGAAAACTGATAGGGAATATGGTGTTTTTTATTTTGTTTTGCCTTTTAATAGTATATAGAGAATATATAGAATATGTACTGTTTGGAAAATCTTGTGTTGTTTGTGATGGAGAAAGTTTTACTTGGTAATGTGTTTCAGTTCTGGACTCCTGAAAATTCTTCTGTGGATTCCCTGTATAGCAGATAGAGCTGATAGAGCTATGGACCATTGCTCCAAATTGTGGATACAATAGGTTTTCTATGGGATTTCATTTCTTATCATCTTACAAAATCATTACTGGGTAATGTCAATAAACATTTAAGTAATTTAGAACTGAATAACTGCAGGCATTAGGGAATAATAACTGCTGGAGAGACTCTTTATAGATTTCTACAGGAATTAGTACTAGATTTTCCTACTAGCCAGTGTTTCCCTTATAGATGTAAAAATAAAAATCACATTTAGAATCATTAGCTAATCTGGTTAATGCTTCAGAATGGTTAATAATAATAATACTCAAGGTACTAACATGGAACAGTGCAAGTTGAAAATTAATTCAAAAATGTTCATATCAAGGTTATACATCTAAGAAAAAGAAATGTAGGTCACAAAAAAAAGGGGGGGGTGGAAAAAAAAAGAAAAGAGGAGGAGGGAAGACTGTTCTGGAAAAGGATAGCTTGGGAAGAGATTATTCCCACAGTGAGCAAGGCTTCCCAGTATTACGCTGAGGTAAAGGACTACAGTGATTCTTGAAGGTCTAAACTGGAGGTTGTTACATAAAATCAGCTGACTCATCTCTTGTGTGTACCTCTGCACTCCATACCGAGAGACTGACACTGAAAATATTGCAGTTTTTGCAGGCTTTTGTAAAACTGTAGAGGATGCAATGTGAGTATTCAAATTATTTTCCTTAGACCGAGAGACTGCATCACTGCACAGTCTTAACCATTTATGAGAAACAAGAACAGGAGGTCACTTGAATGGCTTGTGGAAGTGCAGAAAGAAGCACATATGTGGGTAAGCAGCAAAGAAACCAGGCAAGGAAGAGAATAATGCTCACTTAGAACATTATTC